GCCGTCCTAGGAGTGCCCCTGGGGCTTCCGTGGAGCAACGCCAGGCCCAGTTTCCTTGCCCTTTGGAGCCGGGGCCAGCCCAGCATCAGGCTGGTTACCGCCCATCAGTGCGTTGTGTGTGGGGTCCGTATGGCCTCGGGCCGTGTGGGCAAATGCAGGGAAGCAGGAGCAAAAGCTCCCATGCAGAGGGCCGCCTGAGAAGGCACATGGACACTCCTTCAATTGTCAGCTGAGCCCGAGGCACTGGCAGGTACCTTTGTCCAGGTGGCAGCAGGGGCGGGTCTAGATATGTAAATCCAGGAATGCTAGGGCCTAGTTAAGAATGCAGATAAGCTCCTTTGTCCCTATAAATAAACCTGCTGCATGGCTTGGGGGCTCGATGCCTCTCCATCAGAGGGGATGGCGCCCACCTAGCCCCCAGCTTGATGAATCTATTTCTGCCTCTTGGTCTCTTCTTTCTTTCTTTCTTTAATTTCTTAATCCCCAGCTCCTCCACTCAGGAACCTGTTGTTTTCCGTGATGGAGATGGAAAACAGAAACAGCCCCCCACACTCCCAGGAGAGCAAACACCTTTGTTGGGGGGGGGGGGAGAGGGGCTGAGGATTGGGGGCTTGCCATGGCCTCTGTTCCCAGGAGACTGACAGTAAGCCCTCTGCCACCCTAACCTTTGTTCGGGAAGATGGGACCCTCCTGCAAAAAGAATTTAGTACAGCCGACACTGGTTTGGCTCAGTGGGTAGAGCATCGGCCTGCGGACGGAAAGGTCCCAGGTTCGATTCCGGTCAAGGGCATGTGTGTTGGTTGCGGACACATCCCCAATAGGGGGTGTGCAGGAAAACAGCTGATCAATGTTTCTAACTCTCTTATCAATATTTCTAGCTCTCTATCCCTCTCCCTTCCTCTCTGTAAAAAATCAATAAAATATATAAAAAAAAAAAAAAAAAAGAAGAAGAAGAAGAATTTAGCACAGCCCAGTGGATGTGGGCTGGGTGTTGACCTATTAACCAGGAGGTCATGGTTCGATTTCCGGTCAGGGCACATGCCCAGGTTGCAGGCTCGATCCCCAGTCCAGGGTGTGCAGGAGGCGGCTGATCAATGATTCTCTCTCACCATTGATGTTTCTATCTTTCCCCTTTCCTTTCCATTCAGAAATCAATAAAAAAAAAATATTAAAAAAAATAATTTAGGACATTGGCTGGCCCATGGTAAACAGGAAACAAACAATGGCAACAGTGGCTATTATTATTTATTATTATTATTATTCATCTCAGAGCAAAGATTTCAGAGCCCCCTTGTCTCTATCGGACTCTGCGTTAATTGTGGAAATGGTGTCAGCTAACGTTCAGCTCGGTAGCTGAAAGAGAAAATACCTCACAAATCACAAATACCTCAGGCTCCCTGGGGAAGGGACTGAGCCAGGACCGAAGGCACGTTCCCAACCCCACCCCCGCACCCCGGCGCCAGCCTCTTCCTTCAGCGACTGACAGGGAGACGGGGACAAACATGCTCGTTTCATGTTTCCGTATTTCTGGTCGCTGGAGGCGTGGTGTTGGGAGCGGGTGAGGGGCTGGATCCCTGCCTCAGGCAGAGCAGGTGGAATGCCTTTGGGGTGGAGGGGCCGGTAGGTAGAGCCCCATCTCAGGGGGCAGCTGCTGCTCAGGCTCGGCCCCCGGGACCTCCCGGGAGACCATGGTGCGGAGGGCAGACCTTCTGAGGCATCAGAGAGAACGTGGGAAAGCTGGTTTAAGTGTGTACTTTCCAGATTTGTGCATGTTGCCTCTACTTTTCATTTCCTTTTAGTTTTTTGTTTTTTTTTTTAATATATTTTATTGATTTTGTACAGAGAGGAAGAGAGAGATAGAGAGTTAGAAACATCGATGAGAAAGAGTCATCGATCAGCTGCCTCTTGCACACCCCCTACTGGAGATGTGCCCGCAACCAAGGTACATGCCCTTGACCGGAATCGAACCCGGGACCGTTTAGTCCCCAAGCTCTATCCATTGAGCCAAACCGGTTTCGGCTCCCTTTAGTTTTTTAAGTTGATTTCAGAGAGGAAGGGAGAGGGAGGAAAGGGTAGGAACACCAGTGAAGAGAGACTCATTGATCAGCTGCCCCCCTGCATGCCCCTTCCGAGGGATCATGTGCCCTGAATGGGAATGAAACCCTGATGTCTTGGTTCATAGGTTGATGCTCAACCACAGAGTCACACTGGCAGGGCTCTAAGTTTTAAAAGCATAGGATCTAAGATGCCATTGGTTGTAAGACATTCTGGTGTTTAACAAACTAATAAAGAGAGAGACTTGTGCCCTAATCAGCTTGGCTCAGTGGATAAGCGTCAGCCTGTGGACTGGAAGGTCCCAGGTTCGATTCCGGTCAAGGCCATGTACCTTGGTTTCGGGCACATCCCCAGTAGGGGGTGTGATGGAGGCAGCTGATCGATGTTTCTCTCTCACCGATGTTTCAAACTCTCTATCCCTCTCCCTTCCTCTCTGTAAAAAAATCAGTAAAATACATTTTCTTAAAAAAAAAGAAAGAATGGCTTGTTCATTAAATTATGACAAGCCACTGACTACAGGACTCATCTTAATCCCAGAGATGTCATGATTTGAAAAAATGTGCGTCTCGGGACCCAGGAAATCCTGTGTATCAGGAGGCTGGCGTTGGCCTGGGACACCTCATGCAGTTCCCAACCTACAATACATAACTGCGCCTACGCCACCTCCCAGGCCACTAGGATGGCGGTTCCGTTAGGCATGTGGCCTGGGGGCAGGGGGCAGCCTCGTCATGGATTCTGATTCCCTCCAGGCCTGGGAGCCACGGGGGGGGGGGGGGGGGGGCTCACGCCTGCCTCTGCACTGGCACAGCCTGGTGAAGGCACTGCTGGAGCCACTCAGCTCCGCCCTCCGCACCCCTGTGCCCAGCACCCCTTCCGGGTGCTGACTGTGAAAGTGCCCGCCACTGTGCCCCACGGGCACCGGAGACGGGGTACCCTCCCCTGTGCCATCCCTGCTGAGGCTCCGGCTCCCCCTCCCCCCCTAGAAAAAGCACCTTGATTTGATCCACAAGACTTTCCCGTTTTATTAGTAAAATACAAAATGGCACAGACATTGGGGATAGGGTTGGAAACCAAGAGGATGGACCACCTCCTTCTAAAGTCCCCCCCGCCCCCAAATCGTCCCCGTCCGTGTCCCATGTGGGGGGAGGAGCTAACAAAGTCCTGTGGGCGGGCCCAGCGGTCCCAGCTGCTTTCTGACAAAGAAGGGAACCCCACCATGGGTGCCCCCCTCCGGAGGGCTCCCAGCGGGGAGGAGCCCGTAAAAGTGCATTCAGACGTGCTGTTCTCCCAAAAGTGCCCCCCACTCAAGCCCAAACAGGGGGTGCCGTGTCCAGCGGGAGGGGCGGGGGTGTCGGCCGGCCCGGCCCACGTCCTTGTGGACCTGAGCTGAGCATCCGCCATAAAGGGATGCGTCACCTGTACCTGGAGGAGCCCCACCCTGGGAGGCTTCCCAGGTGGAGGGCAAGGGTCAGTCTTGGGGACAATCAGAGGGAGATGGGAGCTGTCACCAGGGACCCCGAGGTGGGGGGGGAGGGGCTGCAGGTCCAGTTCTGGGTGGGGTGCTGGCCAGTCTCACCCAGGCCTGCCTGCACCCTCAGCAGCCAAAGGAACCCCTTACCACCCCCATCCCCCAACACACACACACACACACACAACTCCCCTTCCCCCCCCCCCCCCCCCCCCGCTCCTCCCCACAGGGCAGAGTTCCTTCCAGAAATAAACACGGAACCTCAGGTGTCAGCAGTGGATTCTGAGCTCATGGGAAACGTCAGGGACATTCCCGGGCCTGCCTGCCGCGGGGGCAAAGGGGAGGGTGCGGGGAGGAGATAGCGTGCGGACAGGGAGCCGGAGCCCTAACAGGAGTGTGGCTGCTCCCTGCAGTTTCTCCCTGGACCCTGCCCTGCCCTTCCTCCCCCCAAACCCCCTGCCCCCCGCCCCCAGGCAGTGCTTGGTCCGCTCCCCTCCTCCTTCAGCCTGTCACATGTCACCAGGGCCATCTCAGTGTCCCTGGACGCTAGTGGACAGAGAGGGCCTGCTCTCCAGGTCAGGAAGGGGCCTTTACAATTGGTCTCTGCCCCCCACGTACCGCAGCCCACTCCCCATTCTGGGGGCCCCCCGTGCCGGCTCCCTCCAACAGGGCAGGGCTGGGCTGCGGGCCCTCCGGGCCCCAGGGCGGTGCCTGCCTCGCTGACCGGTGCAGACTGGCTCAGGTGCTCCGTGGATGACGGGTGTGAAGCTGTACCCGGATCTGGGCACAGGGGTCTCGGGACCACAGCGTGATGCCCGTAGGGGGACGGGTTATTGCCACACATTTGCTAGAGGGGCGGGGCGGGCGCCTCGTCAGGTTTGGTGGTGGGCCTGGGCCTAGAACCCCGGGCTTCACGCTCAGAGTCAGTGTTCCCTCCCCGCTCAGCAGAGACCCCGAGGCAGGAGACAGTCCAACCGGCCCGGCGACTTGGTCTTGGTTCCCAGGAAACCTCACTCAGCCGCCTGCAGACGCCACGCCCGCCTCATGCAAGCGAAGACAGGTCCCGGCCTGGTGGGGGGTGGGGGGCCGGCCCCGCAGGCGGCCGAGGGACCACGGAACACGATGAGGTCGGAGGGGGTGTGCAGAGGGGCCTGGCCCGAGAGGGATGACGTGGTACCGCCATGGGGACAGGGGCGGAGGGGCTGAGACGTCAATAAATAGTTGTCTGTCGGGGCTGGGAGGTGTCAGAGGGACCCTTGCAGCAGCAGCAGCAGCAGAATTTTCTCACCGGGGGGCACAGGGGTGAGTTTTGGAGGCCACCCCTCCACCTCCAGCAGGGCGTGGATGGCCAATGGACTACCTGGGGGTCCTGCCTCCCTGCCTCCATCATCCCCGCCAGGCCCAGGGGAGGGGAGGAGGCAGGATGGGGGGCCCCAGGCAGCGGTGCGAGCTGAGCCTCTGGCCGGGCGGCGGCCGCTCACACGGGCACCAGCACGTAGGAGTTGCTGCCGCAGCTGCGGGGCACATAGCGAAGCCCCTCCACCATGTCCCCCACCGCGCCGCGGGGGCAGCCCTGCAGCCGCTGGTAGGTGAGCGTGGCCACCCCCAGGCAGAAGAGCAGGCCCAGGAAGGCCAGCAGCCCCACCGCCTGCCTCCGGGTGGCCTCGGGCGTGGCCAAGTCGTCCTGCCTCTGGTGGTCCGAGCTCTCCTGCTCCTTGCTGGGGGCCTCGGAGGCGCGGGGCCTGCTGCCGCCGGGCCCGGTGACGGCATCCGGGTGAGCCGGACCGGACCCTAGGGGGCTCTCCGGCGGCGTGAGGTCCTGCCCAGGGTCTGGGGCCGTGTGGGAAATGGCGGGGGCCTGTGGGGAGGCGGCCTGGGGAGAGGGGCTCGGGGACGAGGGGGTATCGGTGGGGGGGTTCTGGATGGAGCCGGCCTTTGTGGGGAGGGCCTGGGTGAGGGAGGCCTGGGTGGAGGGCGCCTGGGTGGGGGGGGCCTGGGAAGAGGGGGGATCAGTGGGGAGGGCCTGGGTGGAGGGGGGCTGGGTGGAGGGGGGATCAGTGGGGAGGGCCTGGGTGGAGGGGGCCTGGGTGGAGGAGGCCTGGGTGGGGGGGGCCTGGGTGGAGGGGAGATCAGTGGGGAGGGCCTGGGTGGAGGGGGCCTGGGTGGAGGGGGCCTGGGTGGAGGGGAGATTAGTGGGGAGGGCCTGGGTGGGGGCCTGGGTGGCGGGGGCTTGGGTGGAGGGGGCCTGGGTGGAGGGGAGATCAGTGGGGAGGGCCTGGGTGGGGGCCTGGGTGGCGGGGGCTTGGGTGGAGGGGGCCTGGGTGGAGGGGAGATCAGTGGGGAGGGCCTGGGTGGGGGCCTGGGTGGCGGGGGCCTGGGTGGAGGGGGCCTGGGTGGAGGAGGCCTGGGTGGGGGGGGCCTGGGAGGAGGCAGCTTCAGAGGCCTTCCCTTCAGCCCAGTGGTCCACTCTCGGCTGGTAAGAGCTCTGCCAGGATGCGGCAGTGGTGGTGGTGGTTTTGGTGGTGCCAGTGATGGCCGGAGCAATTATGGGTCCCGTCAGCTTCTCAGAGGAGGGACCGGCCTTGTGGTCCAGATACTCCATGGCTTCCTGCACCCATCTCTCCTTGGGGTCCGCACAGAATGTTCTGTTCTTTCTGGTCGTCAGTCTACAGGGAAAGAAGGCAGGGACCTGTGATGCCGTGGAGGTGCCACGCCAGGGCCTGCAGGCGAGCAGGCGGGCCGGAAGTCCTGCCCGGCCACTGACCACCACCCGTGAGCTTAGCTGGGGTGCAGCAGTCCTCGCCTGGGAAGTGGGACTGTGACCCCTACTCTGTGGGTGACCAACTGCCCAGCCAAGGGGGGCGGAAGGGGTTCCAGAGATACAACCGCTCCTGGGGCCAGTGTGCTGGACGCCACAGCTGTCCAGGAGGCCAGCATGATCCTGTGCAGCCCCCAGGCGAAGACCCTCTCCCTGGTGCTTCCCCTGCCCCGCCCCTGCCCCTAGGAAACAGAAGCAACTATATGGGGGAACTGGGGCAGCAAGCGGGGGTGGGGGGCGGCAGAGAGGGCTCTTGAAGGGACTGCACACTCAATGGGCTGGGTGGCGATGGGAGCACATGTCTTCCCCGAGCTGAGCCTGAGCGTGCGTTTCAGAGGCTCACTGGCCACTCCTTTTTTTTTTTTTTTTTTTTTTATTTCATTGATTTTTTTACAGAGAGGAAGGGAGAGGGATAGAGAGTTAGAAACATCGATGAGCTAGCCGGGACCGGTTTGGCTCAATGGATAGAGCGTCGGCTTGGGGACTGAAAGGTCCCGAGTTCGATTCCGGACAAGGGCATGTACCTTGGTTGCGGGCATATCCCCAGTAGGGGGCGTGCAAGAGGCAGCTGATCGATGACTCTCTCTCATCGATGTTTCTAACTCTCTATCTCTCTCCCTTCCTCTCCGTATAAAATCAATAAAATATATTTAAAAAAAAAAAAAAAAAAAGAAACATCGATGAGCGAGAAGCATCGATCAGCTGCCCCCTGCACACTCCCCACTGGGGATGTGCCTGCAACCAAGGAACATGCCCTTGACTGGAATCGAACCCGGGACCTTTCAGTCCGCAGGCCGACGCTCTATCCACTGAGAGAATCATGGATCGGCTGCCTCCTACACCCGCCCACCCCCCCCCACTGGGGATGGAGCCCGCCACTCGGGCGTGTGCCCCGACCAGGAATCAGACCGAGGTTACCCTGGTCCCTAGGGTAACGCTCAACCCCTGAGCCAGTCCAGCTGGGCCCAGCTTCTTGCTGCCAGGCCTCCGGGTCCTGCTGTGCTGCTTTAGGGCCCAAAGTCCTGAAAAAGGGCCTCCAGATGGGTCACTGGGCAGTGCCCCGGGGGGGGGCCCCAGAGGAGCAAGCAGCTCCGAGGGCCGAGGGGAGCTGGCTTGGCTGGATCCCTGCCCAGAGCCTCCTAGAGATCCTGTTTCCCCCTCTGACACACGCAGATGCTAATCTTATTGTCCCCAGCTTCTGGGCACCCTCCCAAGCCCGTTGTTACACTCCCTGCTCTCATCCTCCCGCCCACCCACTTGTGGCGCGGATGTTAAGGTCAATGAGGGGGCATGCAGGCCAGAAGCAGGGGAGCGTTCGCTGAGGCCCTGGGCCAGGAGCCCGGGTGGGGCCGGGGGGCGGTGGACATGCGTTATCGGAGGTCGGGGGCCATCCCTGGGGCCTGGCAGGGATGCGGAGGCGGAGAGGGTGGTACCTACATGATGGCGCGTTTGCGGCAAGATGGTTCTGTTCGTTGGTAGCTGGCTAGGCGGTCCCGGGGGATCTCCTTGGTCATCACCCCGCAGGCGTTGCTGCATTTGTTCGAAGCGTGCTGCTGTCCTGAGCCCACAGAGGCCCCCAGTCAGCAGGACTGTCAAAGGGGCATCTGGCTTCTCACACCCAGGACAGTAGGTCCCAGCCACTCGGCCCGAGAGCCAGTGCCCTGCACACCTGGCTTTCAAGGCCCTTGACCTCAGCCCCCCACCCTGCCCTGCCTCCACCCCGTCCGTCCCTGGCCAAACCTCTCCATGCCTCAGTTTCCCCAACCTGTAAAATAGGGACAATGGTAGTATGTGCCTCACAGGGTAAAACTCTTCTTGCCCGGCACGTGGTAAGTGTTTCACTGTAAGAATTAAGTTGCTATCACTGGTCTGTGGTACACAGAGGGGTGGAGTCTGAGGGTGGCAGGGATCTACCTGCCTGAGGTCACACAGCCAGGAAGTGATGGCACAGGCTCTCCAACCAGACCTGACTCCCATCATGCCCCTGGGCCGGTGGTGCTGCCCAGGTGCCACTCCTGTTGCCTTTACCCCGGTAAGTTACCTGCTCTGCTTATAACCCCCCCCACACACACACACACAGACATCCTGTCCTTCCCTCTCAAGCTGTCCATAGTCATGGGTTTTTACGACCTCTGAGACACACCCAGCCCTCTTGCCGTTCACCTCTCATATGCCTGTCCGTGGCATGTTCTCACATACACTCCCACAAACACACATGGCATATCTATAATAATAAAAGCAAAATATGCTAATTAGACCAGACAGCTGAATGACCTTCAGGGCGTCCTTCCGGATGAAGCCAGAGCTGTGAGGGCCGAGGCAAGCCCCCGCAGCTGCAAGGGCCAAGCCCCTTACACGAATTTCGTGCATCGGGCCTCTAGTCCTATATAATAAAAGGCTAATATGCAAACTGACCAAACGGTGGAACGATCGGTCGCTATGACACACACTGACCACCAGGGGGCAGACGCTCAATACAGGAGCTGCCCACTGGGGGTCAGTGCGCTCCCACAGGGGCAGCTCAGCTTAGCCAGAAGCTGGCCTCATGGTTCTGTCATTAAGAATCAGGTGGTCCTGGCTGGTGTGCCTCCTATAAACCAGAAGGTCGGGGTTCGATTCCGGTCAGGGCACATGCCAGGTTGGTGGACTCGATCCCCAGTAGGGGGCGTGCCGCAGGCAGCCGATTGATGTCTCTCTCTCTCTCTCTCTCTGAAGTTCCTTTCTCTCTGAGGAAGGAGGTGCATGGGGTGGGAGCAGAGATGGGGAAGCAGGGGTCTGCAGAGGGCTGGCTATGGAGTCAGAGAGAAACCCCAAGGCAGGATGAGGGTCACTCAACAGACACTTGAGAACCCGAATATTTTATATCAAACATTTGAAGTGGTTTGCACTGCAATCCCGCCTCCTCCTGCCCCCCTCCCCTCCCAGGTGAAGTCTTTAGTAAAATGTCTTTGTTTGGTGTAAGCTGGGCAGGGGTACGTGAAACATGAGGAAGAGAATGAGTTTCAGTCCTGGGTCAAGGTCTTATGCAGCAGAAGCAAGACCCTGGAAGGCTTTGCAAAAATCTAGAGCAGGACTTCCACACAGCAGCGTTGAGACGGCAGCTGATCTTGTCTAGCTCTGCAGGGCCCTGCAGGCCCCGGCTGGTGCCTGGGCTCCACCAAAACACACACTGCTCATGCACAGGTACATGTATGTGGATGTGTAAACATGCATTGCGGTGGGGAGTGGGGAGGGGCGCTCCCAGCAGCTGCTCCCTGAGTCATGGGCTGGCTGCTTTCTCTCTTGGGAAAGCCCCCTGGCTGCCTTATCTCCCTCCTTCTGCCCCAGCAGGACCTCGAACCACCCTGGACTGGCCTGGCAGGTGTCCCTCTGGGAAAAGCCACAGAGGAAAGGGGCCCCTGGGTGACCTGGAGCCAGGGGGCAGCTGCCCAGTGGGCAGGAAGGAGAAGCTAGTGAGGTCAGTTCGCTCTCTGGACTCAGGTTCCCCGGAGGGGGAGGCCACTGTTCACCTTGGGGGTTTGAGGAGCCACAGAGTCAGCCTGCCCCACTGCCCCACCCTCTGCGCGGTGCCCGGGTCCTGCCCAGGGAAGGCTGGATGACTAACCCAGGGGCCTGTTTCCTTCCTGGAACTGGAGTTCTCTCTCCTGTCGATGGAGACAGTGCCTCCAGCCAGACAGTCATTTATGATCTGTCACATGAGTTTCAGGAGGGCAAGAGCTTGTCTGTGTTGGTATCATGTCTTGCAGCACAAAGCGGATACTCAATCAATATTCACTAAGTGAAATAATGCTTCAGTCTACTTATGCCTCTACCCATCTATCCATCCACCCATGTATATATCCATCCATTCACCCATTTATCCATCCATCCATCCACCCACCCACCCACCCATTTACCCACCCACCCACATATCCATCCATCCATTCACCCATTTATCCATCCATCCATTCATCCACCCATTTATCCATCCATCCATCCATCCATCCATCCATCCATCCATCCATTTATCTGCTCCCTTTTGTCAATCTTTTACTCATTCCACATCCACCCACGTCTACCTCCCACCCATTCCTGCTTACCCCATCCATCCATCTACCCAGCCCCACTCACCCACCTACCACCTTCCATCTGTAGCTCCACCTCCTCTCATTTATCCACTCATCCATCCCTCATCAGCCCACTCACCTATCCTTCGTCCGTCCATCCATCCATCCATCCATCCATGCCGATTCAGCCAACATTTGTTTGAATTACTTTTGAATACCTCCAAAGACCCAGGTCCTCTGTCCTTAACCCTGCACTTCCTCCCACAGGTGCGGGCGCTGAGCGTGGAGAGATCACCTCAATCCCAATCAAGGCTCCCAAGTCGCTGTGTGGACTCAGCCGACAAACGCTGACCCTCCATCTTGCCGGGAATAGTGAGCTGAACAGAGCCCGCCGCTGCCTTCAGAGAGCTCCTAGCCTGATGGGCAGCTAAGACGCACCCACAGAGTGCCAGAGAACTTCCTACTGGAGCACCTACTATGCGCTCAGCACACGCACATCTGCTCTCATTCATTCAACATCCCTGCCGAGAGTGAGTGGTCATCCCCGTTTTACCGACGCAGAAGCTGAGAACCAGAGAGGCTGCATGATCTTAGCGCCAGATCTGGTTGTCTTCCCGGGTCCCAGACACCCCGCTTTTCCAGGGTGAAACACCGTGCTCCCAAACATATCCCAGGGTGCCGAGGGCTACACGAAGGAGAGGCCACTCCCTGCTACAAGCGATCGGGGAGGCTGCCTGGAGGAGGTGCCCCTTAAGGTAAGATGACCGGACAGTCCCGATTTTTAACAATTTTGTCCCGAGGCGTTTTTAAAAAGTCCCAATTTTTTTTAAAACGCCGCGGGACAGCTGGTCACCTTACCCTAAGGCTTGTCCTCCAGGACTGCGAAGAGGCCGCAGACAGGAAGAGGCAGGGATGCTCTGAGTCTCTGAGTAAGGCGAGAGAGGGCTTGAGCCAAAGCCCAGGTGTGTGTCCCGGACGAGTCCCTTGGGCTGCCCGAGCCTCGATTGCCGTGCCTGTGGAATGGGCACAAAAATGCCCGCTCCACGCAGGGGTGGGGTGGGGTTGGGGGGGCTGTGAGAATAATGCTGTTTCACTATCTGGGCCCTCAGAGCAGGGTTTCCCCCACGGCAGACGCCACTGGCCTTTCCGACCAGGCAGTCCTTTGTCACGGGGCTGTCCTGTGTCCTGCTGGGCCTCTGGCAGCACCCCTGGCCTCTGCCCGCTAGGTGAGAGCACCCCCGCCCCCAACCAAACATGGCGGGGCACTTAGAACCCCCAAAACATCTCCAGGAATTGCCAGATATTCCCATGGGGCAAACCCTCACTGAGGCCCACTCCCCTGGAGATAACCACATGCCTCCCTTCCCCCTTCCCTATTCCCCCCTCCCCCTCCACCCACCCCCCTCAGTGGCCCCTTCTCAGGGAAAATTCCCTGGCCTCTTACTTAAAATTTCAACACACACACACACTCTGTTTTAAATCACGGCATTCCCCCCCACCCCCTTCCAACAGATCCCACGGCGTACTGATTTATTCTGTGTATTGTCTGCCTTCCCCAGTCGATGTTCGTGCCCCGAGGCCCGGGATCTGGGCGCTGGGGGGGGGGGGGGGGAACGCGGGCGGTTCTATTTATTGATCTGGTCTCGGCACCCAGAACAGTGCGGGGCCCAGAGTGGGTGCCTGAGAAACGCGTGTGGAATGAATCAGCAAAGTGCGCACAGAAGCTCCGTGCGACACAGGCCATCGCCGCCCGTGGGGAAGGAGCGGCGTTTTTATTTCTGTCCCCCGCGGCCTGGATCTGACACCCGCCTGTATCCTCCCCTGCCTTCCCCGCCGCCCCCCTCTCCGCTGAGCAGGGGGCGGACTGCAGTGGCTTCAAGCGGATTTTTTTTTTTTTCCCTTTTCTTTCGTTTTCTTTCTTGCCAGTGGGAGTGCATGCGTCAGGGCTCAGGGAGGAAATTTCTCTGACTTGTGTCTGCAGGTTTGTTATGTAAAACGGAGGCTCCTGCCTGGCTCAGCCCCGCCTGCAGCGGCCTCAAACCTCCCCCTCCCCTGACTCCCCCCCCCTGCCCTCCCGGGGGCCTCTCTGCCTGTGGACCCCCCCCCCCCAGACCTGCAGGGCCCCCAGGGGCCGCTCAGAGCCTCACCTGTCAGCGTGGGTAAGGACACTAAGGGGGCCTGGCTGAGTGCCAGCTTTCCAGGAGGAGAAACCGAGGCTCAGAGAGGTCGAAAGGATGCAAGTATCTCCCAGTAAAGTCAGGGACCGAGATGGTCCTGGAGCCCTAGGCTGCGAGGGAGAGCATCCAGGGTCCCCTCTCCGCCCCCCATTCCCTCCCCACCTCCCTGCTGTTATAAATAATCCTCCTCCCACTTCCAAACGCCCTCCCAGGCATCAGCCTCAGGAAGCAGAGGCGAGCACTCTGTCCCGAGGTGCGGAGGCTGGGACCAAGGAGGGAAGCCCTCCTTCAGGTCACAGCCAGGCACCTCCATCTGACTCCCCTCCCTGGGCTCACGATCCTCAAACACCTCGGGCTTTGGCCTTGGGCCCAGGAAGCAGGAAGCCAGCAACATTTGGCCCTGCTGCCGCTGCCACCTCCGCCACCCCCGCCATCCTCAGCTACCTTCTCCCCGTCCCACTGGTGTGCTCCCCTGCAGCTGTCCTGGAAGCTAGAGGCTGCTTCTCATTCTCCCAGACTCGCTGTGTGTCCTCAGGCGGGCTGCCACCCTCTCTGAGCTCCGACCTGCCAGATGGCCTGGGTACTCCCCAGGGACGGGGCGGACGCAGGTGGTTCCCAGAGGCGGTGAGCGCCGTCTACGCTCCCCCCCTGCACCCAGGCCACCGCCTCTTGCCCCTGCCTGCCGGCCATACCCTCAGGCCAGTTTCTACACCCACCCTCCTGGTGGCAGGTGGGATGGATGCCCCACCAGGTCCCAGGCTCCAGGAAGCATGTGACTAGAGGTGGCCTTACCCGGACCCTGCCTGGACCACCATTTTCTGAGCTGTGTTTGGAGGAGGAAGACCGTACAGTGGGGGGAGATGGGGCTACAGACCAGAACGAGAGCGAGCCACAAGCCCACCCTAGGAGCTGCAATGACCTTGACCTCCCCTCCTCGGGTCCTGGGGCCCCGACTCGCAGGGTGGCCTTGACATCAGGGCAGGAGAAAGTTCCCAGCTATAGTCTATCTAGCCCAGGGCCAGGCTGCGGCTCAGGACGTCAGGTTACATATTAACCCTGGGCACCCCCAAGGCTTGTCCCAGCAGGAGCCTCCCTCCCTCCTTCCCTCCCGTGCTCGATCCTGGGCCTCTGATACCCACCTGGCCCCCTTGTATCTCCCATGCCACCCTGCCACCCTGCCCACTGCCCCCCCCCACCACCACCCCGCGCTCCAAGATAGCAACCTTGCTTATTGAGCCGAATCTTTTCCTCAAGGAGCTGCATCTCTGCCCCCCCCCCGCTGCCGCCCCCCATCCCCCAGGTGGGCCTGCCACAGACCCAGCCTCAGGTAGGAAGGGTCTGGTGTGCCCTGATGCCAGGTCTGAGGGGCCGCCCCCTCCCTGCTCACGCTGCGCCCACCCCACTCACCCGCCAGCAGCAGGACCAGAGGGCAGAGCACAGCCAAGTGGAGCAGCCAGGAGAGCGGGTGGAGAGCCATGGCCGGGGCAGGCAGGGCGCCAGGCGGGGTCCCAGCGCGGGGACCAGGCTGGCACTGCCGCTCGCCCAGGGAGCTCCGGCGTTTCTGATCCGAGACCCGCTGCCTCTGCCTCTGCGTGTCTCCGCCTCCTGGCGGTGGGAGGGGAGAGGCAGGGAGCCAGAATCCACAGGATGTTGCCTTAGAAACAGAAGAAGGTCTTGGGGACCCTGGGCTGCTGCTCAGAGCGGCTCCTCAAAAACCGGAACCTGCCCTGCCCTGGAGGACGGCTCAGGTTCAAAGAGCCTCTGCTCTTCCCGGGTCACCTCCCTGCCGGGAGCTGGACACGCCCTTCGGTCTGGCCTGGGGCCCTGGCTGCCCCGGGGGCAATAAGCAAAGGACAGGGACCGAGGCGAGGTGTGGAGGATGCTGGCTGCGAGCACACCGGAAGGGACCAGACTGGCAGGGCCTTGGAGGGCCTTTTTATGGATGGGGAAACTGAGGCATGCAGAAGTTAAGGAATTTCATGAGGATCACCAGCCAGGAAGCGGGGGAGCCTAAATTGGCCCCAGTCAGGTGGCTCTGGGGTCTGAGCTCATGACCACCTGATGACCCCCCACCCTTACCCTCCACCCCCATGTTGAGAACTGCTGTCAGGACTGAGGGAGTTTATGCCCATGAGGTGCTGATTCAGGGCCTGGTGTGAAACAGGCGTCAAAGCGGCACTGCTTTCCTTCCTTCAGCCTCTTCGGGCCCAGTTTTTCCTGCCATAAAATTGGAACGGTCACCCCACCCACCACCACCACCTCATCAGGGGGTTCAAGACCAACTGTGAGTGGCTTGGCCGGCCCGTGCGGCTCAGAGGTGACCTGTGAACAGTTTCCCACTCAGGGCCCATGCCCAGGGATGGGCTCAATCCCCAGTAGGAGGCGTGCAAGAGGCGGCAGATCAGCGATTCACTCTCATTAATGTTTCTTTTTTTTTTTTAATAAATATATTTTATTGATTTTTTTACAGAGAGGAAGAGAGAGGGATAGAGAGTTAGAAACATCGATGGCTCTCATTGATATTTCTATTTCTCTCTCACCCCTACCTCTCTGAAATCAACAAAAAAATATATTTTTCTATCTCTCCATTCTCTCTAGAAATCAATGGAAAGAATATCCTCCGCTGAGGATTAAAAAAAAGAAAAAGCAGAAACCAGTTTGGCTCAGTGGATAGAGCGTCAGCCTGCGGACTGAAAGGTCCCGGGTTCGATTCCAGTCAAGGGCATGTACGTTGGTTGCGGGCACATCCCCGATAGGGGGTGTGCAAGAGGCAGCTGGTCGATGTTTCTCTCTCATTGACGTTTCTAGCTCTCTATCTCTCTCCCTTCCTCCTCTCTGTAAAATATCAATTAAATATATTAGAAAGAAAGAAAGAAAGAAAGAAAGAAAGAAAGAAAGAAAGAAAGAAAGAAAGAAAGAAACTGCCCTAATAGGTTTGGCTCAGTGAATAGAGTGTCAGCCTACGAACTAGAAAGTCCCAGGTTCAATTCCGGTCAAGGGCATGTACCTCAGTTGCAGGCACATCCCCAGTGGGAGGTGTGCAGGAGGCAGCTGATGGATATTTCTCTCTCATTGATGTTCTAACTCTCTATCCCTCGCCCTTCCCCTCTGTAAAAAAATCAATAAAATATATTTTAAAAAAGAAAAGGATTCAATCCAGACACATCATCCAGGCTTTCTACTCAGCCAGACCTGGAGTGCAACAGGACTCCACCTCCTATGAGGGGTATCGCCTTGGGCAAGTGACTTAACCCGTTTGAGCCTCAGCCTCCCCATCTGTGAAATGGGACGTAATAGTCACCTCATCAAATCAGCCGCTGGGAGAGTGAATACAACTACTGACTTTCACGGAGAGGCACACAGAAGCTACTAGTGTTTGTGATTGAGCCCCGGGGGTGTGCCTGGCATTGTGGTGGCAAATCCATAATCTAAGTCCTTGCCCCAAGGAGGCCCTTTCTCCCCTGCTCTTCCCCACCCACCTCCGGCAGTAGGAAGCAAGTGCAGGTGGTGGGGAAGGGAGAGCCTTTATTCTTATGCAGGCAGCAAAGAAGGCAGCGTGAGAGAGGCGAGGCTGCCATCAGGAGGCCGAGGGCCGAGTTTTGCTGTTTCTTTCACATTGTCATTTGGAACACTTTTAGACACTAAGTTTTGAACCAGGACCCATCTAGGTTTATGCATAGTATAAAGTTATTTCTTTTGAGTCTACAATAGCCCTCCCAACACATTTCTCGTGGCTGGACTTTCTGAAGACTCAAAGCCATTGTCCTAGGCGCTGTTCTCATTCCTAATTGATCTAATTATGTCCTTGTGAAGTCATCTAAGCTGTTTCCCTAACCTCTGTGTTTCCTGTAAATGTGGAGTTGGAGCTGTGGGCAAGAATTCCTTACGCGTAATGCTGGGTTTTCCACACTGCACCTCACGTGCCTCCTAACAGATTTCTGCCGGAGGCGTCTCCTTTGTGATCATAAGTCACTCCCCAGCCACACAGACCACGGCGGGCCGCGGGAAAGCCTCCCCAGGTGGGAAGTGCCCGGCTTCTGCAGGGGCTGGGGCGTGGTCTGATGGCTTCGGCCGAGGAGGAAGTGGGCAGAAAGGCTGCCTGAGACACCGGAGCTGGAGGGAGGGAGGAGGATGCTGCTGGGGAAGAGGAGCTGGGAAGGTTCTGAACTGAGGAGGAAGGAGAGCCACACGGGCGACTGAGAAGTGGGGCTATTCAATAGTAAAAAATAAATTGAATGTGAAACAATTTAATTTTCTGTACAGTCCAAACAGCTGAGCTAAATGAGTAACAAATAGAGGAGGAAGACCTGCTTGAGAAGTGAACTGAACAGGCTTCTTGACAGTGGTTGTGACCGCTGATCTATATGCATGTTTTCCATTTCTAAAGCCATGTTCATTCAACTCATTAAAATCTCAATTAAATTTAAAATAAAAATGGCTTCCCTAGCCAGTTTGGCTCAGTGGATAAGAGTGTCAGCCTACAGACCAAAGGGTCCCAGGTTCGATTCCCATCGAGGGCACATACCTTGGTTACAGGCTCCTCCGAGGGCCCACGCCTGGTCAGGACTGTGTAGGAGGCAATCAATCTCTGTCTTTCCCTCTCTCTTCCACTCTCCCTAAAAATCAATGGGAAAAATATCCTCAGGTGAAGATTAAAGTAAAAATGGCTTTCCCTGCGGAAATGACTTTTCTAAAATACTGTATATTGCCCTAGCTGGTTTTGTTCAGTGGATAGAGCGTCGGCCTGTGGACTGAAAGGTCCCGGGTTCGATTCCAGTCAACGGCACATGCCTGGGTTTTGGCTTCTATCCCCAGTAGAGGGCATGCAGGAGGCAGCCAGTCAATGATTCTCATCATTGATGTTTCTCTCTCTCCCTCTCCCTTCCTCCCTGAAATCAATAAAAATATATTAAAAAGCCCTGACCAGTTTGGCTCAGTGGATAGAGCATCAGCCTGCGAACTGAATGATCCCAGGTTTGATTCCAGTACCTTGGTTGCAGGCACATCTCCAGTGGGGGGTGTGCAGAAGGCAGCTAATCAATGTTTCTAGCTCTCTGTCCTCCCTTCCTTTCTGTAAAAATATCAATAAAATGTATTTAAATAAAAAATATATTTTAAAACAAAATAAAATACTGTGTATCTTTGATGATGAAAAACACTATTATTGCTGAAACCGGTTTGGCTCAGTGGCTGGAGTGTTGGCCTATGGACTGAAAGGTCCCAGGTTTGATTCCAGTCTGGCGCATATACCTTGGTTGCGGGCACATCCCCAGTGGGGGGGGGGTGCAGGAGGCAGCTGGTAGATATTTCTCTCTCATCAAAGTTTCTAGCTCTCTGTCCCTCTCCCTTCCTTTCTGTAAAAAAAAAATCAATAAAATATTTCTTTAAAAAAAGAAAAAGACTATTACCGGTACAGTTTGATAACAAGGCCTGAAAAGCTTGGAGGCACCATCCAAGTTTAAGCACTATTTCACTTTACATCAGTGCAGCGTCAACACGGTGAAAAGGGCAAAGAAAGTATTAATGTGAAACAGCTTTGACCTCATGGAACCCCAAAAGAATCTCAGAGACCCCAGGGTCTACCAACTGCACTTTGAGAACCACTGCTCTGCTCCTGTTTTGCACCTTAAAATGTGGGTAGTAATCCCAATGTCTTAGAATTGCTGTGACAGTAAATGTATGCGAACCACCCAGCACAAACATCTTATAGAAAGAACACCACAAATATTTCTACTCGTTATAGTCCAGCTGTGATAGCTCTATGTCATTGTCACATTTACCCACCTACAGTAGCGCCGCCTTAGAAATCCTATCCCGTTTGCAACGTTATACCTCAACATGTAGTTTCAGAATTCTTTACTTGCCTAATTCTTCCTATTAGGGGTGTATGTGTTAAAATGCACTTAACGTAAACGTTCCCATTTTAACCATTTATGCAGTGTACAGCTCAACAGTATATTCCAATTCCCATAGGAGCACTTTACTTCTTTAGCTACGTATTTATTGTAGTTACTAAATGCCTATTTTGCCCTAGCTCGTTTGGCTCAGTGGACAGAGCGTTGGCCTGTGGGCTGAAGGGTGCCGGGTTCGATTCGGGCCAAGGGTACATTGCCTGGGTTGCAGGCTCCATCCCCAGCACGGGACAGTTCTGGAGGAAGCCGATCAATGATTCTCTCTCATCATTGATTTTTCTATCTTCCTCCCCCTCCTTTCCTCTCTCAAGTCAATAAAGAAACATATTTTTTTAAATGTCTATTTCACTTGTGACGGGGGGGGCAGATTCAACCACTCTTTAGACTTTCCGCGTTTCTCTAAGATGTCTTTTTCTATTTTTCATGTTTATTACACCAAATCTATTTTTTACGCGTTTAACAGCCCATTAGAAACGCAACCGCCTCCACAGACCTAGCTGCTGGAATTTGCATTCCCCAGCCGTGCTGCGCGGGAAGGCTCTCCTATCGCGAGAATTCCTCCGGTCCTGGCGGGGGCGGGGCTTCACCAAGTGAGTTGGCGATAGGCTGGCTTCTGGCGGGGCGCAGGCGCACTAGACACGCCGGCTTGGAGAGGTATAAAAGCAGGACGCCTTGACTCCGTCCGGCCTTTCAGCGGAAGAGATCGTCGCTGAGCCTCCCTGGCGCCTGGTGAGTGTTTCTTCTCCGCTTTTTTTCTTTTTTCTTCTCTTACCTCTGGGGCTCCATCCTGCCAGCCAGCCTTCCCTGGAGAAAGGATTCTGTTAAAAGGACCGGTTGCAGCGGGTTCCGCGCCAGCCGCCCCCGTTAATCCGTGCGGAGGGATGGCGAACCCAGGCGCGCCCGCGCCCAGCTGCCTGCACCCCGCTCCCCATGCCGCTGAGAACGCAGCCACCCGCCCCGGGTGCCCGGTTATTTGCCCTCTCGCACCCCCCAGGAGTCGCGATGCCCTCCGTGGAGTTGCACGCGGGACCTTCCGTCCCTGGCCCCTCCCGCGTTTGCGTCCTGGTTTCGAAATCGTGGTGGCTCTGGGCGCTGCCGATTGGTTTGCACATCTAGTGTCATCGGGAGGGGATCGGGCTAAAGATAGGCAAAGATGAACTGCTGCTACAAAAGCTCTGTGTTGGCCATTTCCTGGGCGGGGGATGGGGACTTGCTAATGGATTGTGGTGTCTAGGTGAGTGTGCGCGGTGCGCGGCTGGAAAGTGGATTTTAGGTTACTGGCAAGGCTTCTGGCCAGTCTTGAACTCGAGTTTTGACGACTTTGGGGAGGTGGGAGGGAGTTAGGTTCCACCCCAGCGTGGGTATCCCTGGGAAATGGCTGTGGGCTGGATTGGGGTTGCTTGCACAGAAGTCTGAATCTTAAAGTGTAGGGACCAACGTGGACACCCCGGGAGGTCACTCTCCCCGGGCTCTGTCCAGGTGGCGTAGGGGAGCATAGGGCTCTGCCCCGTGACGTACAGTCCCTTTCCACGCCGTTGGAGAGAAAGCCGGGCCTCGCGTCTGCGCCTGCATATTCCTACGACTTCTCAGAGTCCTTGGACCATGACTGAGGAGGCAAACCATGCAGGAAACATCTCTCTAGAGCAACTGGTGTGAATCAATTAAAATTCTATCTTCTGGTCTGGCTCGGCTCAGGGTTGAGCATTGAGCTATGAACCAGGAAGTCAAGGCACATGGCGGATTGGGGGGAGGAGGGGAAGGCAGCCCATCCATGATTCTATCTTGATGTTTCAATGGCCATGTGGCCAATGAAATTTATAAGTGATTATATCATCGATGTTTCTGTCCCTTCTCTGAAATCAACAAAAGCCTGTTAAAAGATTCTACCGGTTTTGGTAGATCAGGGGAATATGTTTTTTGTGTGCTGCAGTTTTAGTAGTTTGTGTGCAGCACGAGGTGGACAAGGTTGCCGATTGCTGCTCTAGAGCTTCCTATCCGCATATAGGTTGATCAGAAGTGAGTTTTTTGCTTTAACGAGTTTTGCTGTACTGCCAATTAAGCTCTTGACCTTGTTTTGCAGCCTTCAGTCAAGATTCTAAGCCAACTGGATTTGGGTAAGTAACTCTGAGTTGCACTTGGCTTATCTGTTTTCCGATGGCGTTTGGTCTGCACAGTTCCTTCTCATGATCCTGGAGTTGAAGCTGGGCATATTTGTCTGCTTATGCCTTCAACAAGGAGTAACCGATGAAGTAAATAATGAAATAGTACAAGGCAATGACTTGTTTGAAGTTGATTACTAAACCAGCAACTACATGTAGCATAATCTATAATAATAAAAGTGTAAAAGGCCTACCCTCGCACAGATTTTGTGCATCATGCCTCTTGTATGTAATAAAGACAAATCTCTTAGGAGGTTTTGAGGGGTGATGCTGTTCAGCTGTGCTGTAATTACCGCTGTTTGTGATTGATTGATTGATTGGACACTCCCAACGTGGACACCCCGGGAGGTCACTCTCCCCGGGCTCTGTCCAGGTGGCGTAGGGGAGCTTAGGGCTCTGCCCCGTGACGTACAGTCCCTTTCCACGCCGTTGGAGAGAAAGCCGGGCCTCGCGTCTGCGCCTGCATATTCCTACGACTTCTCAGAGTCCTTGGACCATGACTGAGGAGGCAAACCATGCAGGAAACATCTAGTGCATTAAAATGTGTCGTTTTTAAATTTAAGAATAGGATTCTAATCTTTTTTTTTTTTTTATGTTTTCCTTTAGGAAAGAGGAGCCACCTCACCTTTTGGCAGTGAACAATGCTTTTTGGGTGCCGCTAAAGTGATGACATCATGTGAAACATTATCGGTTGCCAACCCAGGTGCTGCTCCACTTTCCTTTCTGTTTCCTTTTAAAGGCAAGTGGAGCCGCAGCTGGGCAGTAGGGAAGGGGAAGAGTGGCTCATAGTTGAGCCTCGACCTCTGAACCAGGAGGTCATGGTTCGATTCTGGTCAAGGCAACATGTCGGGGTTGTGGGCTTGATCCCCAATGGGACGTGCAGGAGGCAGCAGGTCCATCTTCTCATCACTGATGTTTCTCTCTCCCTCTCCCTTCTTTGAAATAAATAAAAACATTTTTTAAAAAAAGTTTCCTCTCTGGTCAGTGATGTGGGGGGATGGGGGTGTCCCTGCCCACCTTCCTGGGTGCCCCAGACGGCAGACGGGCACATGAGGGATTCTCCCCTGACGAAGCAGAACAGGAACAGCTGCGGGATCCTGGCACGGAGCCCAGGGCACTCCTGTGGGGTCCCAGAATGGTAGGTGGAGAGGGACGGCCTGGCCTAGCTTCCCCTTGTCCCATCCCAACTCTGCCCAGCTCCACCTGGGAGGACCATTCAGCCTGCAGGCCAGTGCTCTATCCACTGAGCCAAACCAGTTAGGGCTGCTTCCAGTACTTTTCTGTGTACCCAGAAGCGGAACTATTAGGTGCCCTGTCCGATTCGAGGAACCACCAGGCGGTTTTCCACAGCACCGGTTTACATTCCACCGCCAATCCAAGGACTCCAGTGTCGCCACACCCTCGCCAGCCTTGGTTTGTGTTTTTTTCTTAGTGATAGCCATCCTCATGGGTGTGAGGCGCATTTCATGTTGAGCATCTTGTCACGAGTGGGTTGACATTTCTCTCCCAGGCCTACTCATGAGGTTGGGCTGCTGTGTCTTCCCAGTTCAGTGACACAACCACATGCACGGACATGGGCTTTCTGCCCCCTGTTCCCACAGGCAGACACGGAGGATGAGGGACAAAGCAACTGGCTCTAGACCCCCAGCCAGTGAGAGCTAGTCTGCCTGAGTCCCTGACCTGTACCCTCCGGTGCATCTCCTGGCCCCCGGACACGTACCCTGGGAGGACACGAGGGAAGGGGTGCGTGCTAAACCCAGTCCTTAACCTTGCCCCAGCCACCAGAGCTTGCCCCCACCCCCACCCCAGGTTCTTTCACTTAACGGCGCCCCACCTCACTCCCAGGGCCAGAAAAGCCCTAGTCTGTCCGCTTCCCCACAGCTAACATCCTCCCAGTCATCCACAGGATGCCTCTTAAACATTTGCCTTCTTTTTAAAAAAAATATCTTTATTGATTTCAGAAAGGCAGAGAGAGAGATACAAACATCAATGAAGAGAAAGAATCTTGATCCACTGCCTCCTGCATGCCCCACACTGGGGATCGAGCCCGAATTCTGGGCCTGTGCCCTGACTGGGAATTGAACTGTGGTCTGGTTCATAGGTCAGTGTTTGACCATTGAGCCACACTGGCCGGGCTGCCTTTTCACAGACAAATTATCTAGCCGAGGGGAGTCATTCACACCATTGCGTGAATTTGGTCACCAGCTATTTGGGGAAACAGGAAGGGAAAGTCTTGGAAAGGTCAGGCCTGGGTTTTGGAGGTTGGAGAGCAGTGAAAACCCGAGGGAGGGAAGCAGGAAGGGCCAAGAGACCCGGTACAGAGGTAAAGTGGGGGAAGAAAGGCGAATCTGGACAAATTAAAGGCTGTGCAAGGAACCCAGCTCCCGGGAGGACCTGCAGCCTCTCGGCAGGGATGTGTGAGGGCCTCTAGGGGGCGGGAGAAGGACCTTCCTTTTATGGGGTCCGTCCGCAGCCACTTGTGGGCCCTGGTTCTGAGCCAGGCCCTGTGCTCTGTCCTGGCGGCCAGGAGCCAGAGGTGTGGATCTGGAGGACACATTCCAATCCCGAGGATCCTGGGCAGACGGTCACCAGGCCCGTTAAGGAGGGCAGAGGGCCAGTGGGAGTCTTCAAAAATAAAGCAGACTACTTAGAAAGAGTGAGTCACTTAGAACTCATTTGCAGGAAGTGGATATGGACTCTGCCAACCTAAGCATCAAAGAAAAAAAAAATGAAACTCAGTTACTGGCTGCTCAGGCTGGGCGACGCCTTGGGGGGCTGGTGGGGGGGCTGTGCAGGCATGGGAGTCACTCTGGGCATCAGGAGCAGCACAGGCCATGGCCGGGAAATAGAACTATCATTGGCGTGGGCTTGGGATCCAACGTGCACCAAGGGAGATGGATGGGGCTGGAGACAGAGATGCGACCCAGATCCAGAGGGCCTGGTGCCAAGCCCGGGCACTGGGACCTCAGCCTAGGGCACTGGGGAGCCATGGAAGGGTTTTGACAGGGGAATTTCGGACCCGCTGGCTTCAGCGGGGCAGAGGCTGGGAAGGAGTAAGAGGGGAGATGAGAGTAGGGATGGAGATCGGGAGTACAGAGTCCCTGGCTGGGGAGCAGCTGTTATGGCAGGAAAGTGATCCTTCCCCGAGGAGCCAAGGCCACGGTCACCAGGGCAGGATCCTTCCTCAGTCCAGCTTCTGGAGAAGCTTCTTCACCCAGGGCACCCTGGGGTCAGCGCAGATCTCCCGCTTCTTGAGGGTTACCAGGCTGGAAGGAGGAGATGCCAGAGGGACAATGAGACATGCAGGGAGGATGCCACATCCCGCCTGCCAAGCTTGGCACTTATGAGTCACCTACTGTATGGAGAGGTGCCTTCTATCTAGAGAGGCTTAGCATTTATGAGCCGCCTGCTGTATGCAAACACATTTCTTAAGGAGGAGGGGGGTGATCATCAGAACTTCCCTGGTAGTCCCTCAGCCTCAGCCTCTAGTGCCAGGTCAGGCCAGGGAACCGAATGCCCTAGACTCTCACGGTCATTGCAAACATCGCCTTCGGCAAGAGAGTATTGGGCAGGGGCCAAGAGCATGGACTTTGGAGCCAACTTATCTGGTTAATCCTAGCCCCGGGACTTGTTAGCAAGTCCTTTTACGTCTCTGAGCCTCAGTTTCTACATCTGTGAAATAGGGGTGATCATCATGGGCCAACCTCATAGGATTCTGATGAGATTTGCCGAGTTCAGATAAACTAGATGCACAGCAGATGGTAGTTCCTGTATAACTGTGCCAGGAGCTGGCCTGAATTCTTTTTTAAAAAAATATATATTTTCATTGATTTCAGAAAGGATGGGAGAGGGAGAAACATCAATGATGAGAGAGGATCATTGATCGGCTGCCTCCGGCATGCCCCCCACTGGGGATCAAGCCCTTGACTGGAATCAAACCCGGGACCCTTCAGTCCACAGGCCAACTCTCTATCCAATGAGCCAAACCGGCAAGGGCTGGTCTGAATTCTTTAATTTTATTACTATATCCTTACAGCAATCCTATGAGGTCGGGTTATTCTATCCACTTCCTAGGGGAGGGGAGTGAGACAAAGCCCGTCTACCAATGCCCAGCAGCCTTCCCCACCCGGCAGCCTCTGGGCCCTCCTGGGCCACCTCTGTGGGGCTCCCTGCTGCCCCAGCGCCCCACTCACACAACGCCGGGCTTCCGGCAGGAGTCTGAAGTCCAGTAGTAATCCTTCACCAGGCGGTGGGGCAGCTGGTGGCGGATGTGGTCGCGGCAGCAGATGCTGTCCTCCACGTTGGCTCCGTAAGGGCCTGGGGGGAGGGGCGCTCAGAGGGACCCAGGCTGGGCCCAGGGACGTCTCCCCGCCCCACCTCTAACCCAGCCTTTCAGCTCCACGGGGAAGGTCGGTGTCCAGAGGATTCTGGGCCCTCCATGCCCCCGATCCTGGGCCTCTGGGAAGCCAGGAAGGGCCCAGTGTCATTACTCCGGGTGGGTCAGGTCCAGGGAGAGGGATGCCGACAGCTGAGCATCCACAATGCCCTACGGAACCCAGGGCCTCTGAACAGGCCTTGCTGATAAGACCACCCTCACTGGCTCCACCCACCAGGTCCCCGGGGGCATCAGCATCACCAGGAGCCTGTGGATGCTGCTCACCGGCTCTGCTGAGCCAGAGAGTGACGGGCCCCAGGGAATGCAGAAGTCCGCTCGGTGCACAGCCACGCTGACCCCCTCCGTGGAGAGACTGTGTCCAGAGCGGGGAGGACTTGCCCCAATCACACAGCACGGCCTTGAAGAGCCAGGACAAGGGTTCGAGGCCCACTCTGCCCTGAGTCACCAGCCACTGAGGGAAGTCATTGAAGGTCTCTCTGACCGAGGGGGCAATATCAGCCCTGACTCTGGGGGGCGGGGAGCCCTCTAAAGCAGGGAAAGCACACAGGAACCCCATCCCTGGCAGGTGTTGTTCCTCACCTGCCAGACTCCCAGTCCAGTGCTCCTTCCCCTACCCAATCCAGGGCAGGAGCAGTTACGTTGGCCTGAAAAAATCAGGGTCCCAGGTGTGGCTCAGGGGTGGAGCATGGACCGATGAACCAGGAGGTCACAGTTCCATTCCCGGTCAGGGCACATGCCCCAGTTGCGGGTTTGATTCCCACTGTGGGGCGTGCAAGAGGCAGCTGATCTATGATTCTCTCTCATCATTGATGTTTCTATCTCCCTCTCCCTCTCCTACTCCCTCTCCCTTTCTTTTCTTCTCGGAAATAAATTTAAAAATAAAAAAAGAAATCAGGATTGCAGGGCAGGTTCTGGAGCAAAAATAGGGAGGTGGGAGGCAGGGCCCGCTGCCTTTCCATGAGAGTATCTCAGGCCCCACCTCCTACCCTCTACCCCTTGTCAGCAGCGCCTTCTCCACTCCCCAGGGTCCTTTGCTCCAGTTCTCTGGAGGGGAGGACCCCGGGCCATGCCTCCCACACCCCCAACCTGGCTGCAGCCGATTCTACACGCAAGCCTTCAAGACTACCCATCTGACAGATTGTACGTAAAGGCCCAGAGAAGCAGTGGGACCAGTCTGAGAGCCAGCAGCAGACTGGGGTGTCTGCCCTCAGTCCCGCGTGTTTCCATGCCACGAGGAAGATGCCCGGGGTGCGACCCTGGCTCTGCAGGGAGCCCTCCCCACCCCCCCAGCCTCACCTGCTTCTGTTGCGTGGACAGCCAGAGCAAGGAGCAGGAGGGCTGCCAGGAGCGGGGTCTGCAGGCCGGCCATGCTGCTGTCCCGTGTCCCAGCCAGGTGTCTGCTCTCGCCCCAGGACAACCAGGCCTGCTATTTATTAAGCGCTGGCTACACCCACAAGCCTCGGCCACTCTTAGTCACTGGGGAGCAAGGAGCATTACACTGACGTTCTGAAAGAAGAACTCCCGCCTCCTCCAGATTGGAGGAAATTTTCTGTGGGTGGAAACCATCAGAGGGGACCCCCACCCACCCTCTGGGTCTCCAGAGACTTGCAAAATCCCCCCTGAGCCAGGCCTCCTGGAGTCCGGCGCCCCGGGTCTGTCGCCTGTGTCCCTGCCCACGTCCCCGTGTGTCTCTGGAAATGGGGAGATGGGGCCACAGCCCGAGCTGGCGCCTCAGTGTTTGTAGGTAAAGGATGAGAGGACGCGGGCGGACGCTAATGGCCCCAGCCCTCAGCTGCACCGAGGCCACCTTGTGCCCTTGGTGGTCACGGCCCAGCTCTCCTCCAGGGGAGAGGCCTGCGGGTCCACTGGGCTGCTGCTCAGCCTCTTCTCGGGGTTCTCACCGAGTCCAGACCCCGGGCCAGGCATCGGCCACTCAATGGTTGGAAGGGGCCCCCACACACGTTTCCATCTCGCCCGTCTCCCCCGCAGCTGCCTCTGAGCCCTGCCTCACCCACCCCTTCTCAATCTCTCACCCTGTCCACTTCCCACTTCCTAAATCTCAGATCTGTCCGATCTGTCCTCTCTCTCTCTCTCTCCCTCTCTCTTCTCAATCTCTCACCCTGTCCACTTCCCACTTCCTAAATCTCAGATCTGTCCGATCTGTCCTCTCTCCCTCTCTCCCTCTCCCTTTCTCTCTATATATTGATTTCAGAGAGGAAGGGAGAGGGAGAGAGAGACATAAACATTAATGATGAGAGAGAATCATTGATGGGCTGCCTCCTGCACGCCCCACACTGGGGATGGAGCCCGAAACCCCAGGCATGTGCCCTGACCGGGAATCGAACCGTGACCTCCTGGTTCACCAGTCGATGCTCAACCACTGAGCCACACCAGCTGGGCTGTCCTCTTCTCCCCATCCCCGCTGTCCCTGCCCAGTCCAGACCACCTCCATCTCAGGCTCGGACCCTAGACCCTCAACCCCCTCTCTCCCTGGTGGTGGCCCAGAGGCCAAGCCGCACACATCTCTCTTGTGCTTGGAGACCTGCTGTGGTCCCCTGAGCTGAGGGCAGAGCCAGAGCTCCTGACCGTGGCCTTCGAGGCCTGGTTCCGCCCCCACCGGGCTGCAGCCACACTCCTCACAGTTCCTCAAAGAGGTCAGCGGCCTGTCCCAGCCGCCATGCCCTTTCCACTTTGCTACCGCGTAAACTCCTACTCGTGCGTCAGGAGCCCTGGGAAATGTCACCCTCTCGGCAGCCCACCCACTCTGACTGGACATCCTCCGGGGTGGCCTGGAATGTGGGTTTTTCTCATCCTGGGCCCCTCCCCCGAAGCCTACCTCCTGGAAGGCCGGGGTCTCCTTTCCTTGTCTCAGCATCCCCAGTGTCTTCCAAGAGTGAGGTACACAGTGGGTGCTGGGGGGCAGGGGGGAAGGACAACTAAGGAAGCAGGAAATAGAAGCTCGGAGAAAGAGGGCTGGCCTGAAGTCTAACAGCCAGGGAGTGGCCAGGCCAGGCTGGGATTCAGAACTCAGCATCCCGTTCGTAAAGGAAGCCACCGTTCACTTATCACTCTTTCCACAAATGATAGTGGAGTCCTCTAGCGACAGAATAATGCCTCCCTTCCCCTCCCCCCCCAAAAAAAAAAAAAAAAAAACAAACAAACACCTGCCCGCCAAAACTGGTTTGGCTCAGTGGATAGAGCGTTGGCCTATGGACTGAAAGGTCCCAGGTTCGATTCTGGCCAAAGGCATGTAGCTTGATTGCGGGCACATCCCCAGTGGGGGCTGTGCAAGAGGCAGCTGATCGATGATTCTCTCTCATCGATGTTTCTAACTCTCTAGCCCTCTCTCTTCCTCTCTGTAAAAAAATCAATAAAATATATTTAAAAAAAAAAAAAAAAAAAAAACCCTGCCCACTTCCTAATTCCCGAAACCTGTGACTGTGACCTTGCATTTCAAAAGGGCTGTGCAGTGTGTGTGAAGCCGGTCAAGGAGAGGGAGTTCCCGGGTGATCTGAATGGCCCCCCGAAGCAGCCCTGGGTCAGCCACAGACAGAGATGGGGTGCCAGAGACAGAAGGAGGCGATGCCAGACTGAGCCCAGGAGTGCCAGGGCCTCTGGGAGCTGCACAAGCAAGGACGCAGCTTATTCCCTGGCGCTTCGGGGCGGGGCACAGCCCTGCTCACACCTCCATCTCAGCCCACGGAGCCTGATCGAGAGCCCCCGCCGCCGGACCTGCCAGCCGATGTGTTTGTGTTGTCTGTGCTGTCTGTAAACACCGAAGAGTGTGGTCGGTCGTTTGTTAGAGCGGCGAGGGGAAAGGAAGCCAAGGCCCCGCCAGGACCTGAGGTCACAGCAGGGACAGGTCACCACGGGGGACAGGTCCCTGCTCCATGGCGTGTACCGTGGAGACGGACGACAAACAGGCCATCAACTACCAAACATGGTCATGTCCGGTTGGCGTGAGCGCCGTGAAGAAATGAAACAGAGACTGTGACTATGGGGAAGGGGCTGGGGTACACAGGAAGCATCTACGGGGGGGTGACACAGAAGCCGAAATCCAGAAGATACGAAGGAGTCTGCATGCAAAGGCCCTGGCGGGTGGGAGGCTGGGCAGCTGGGCAGAGGGAGTGGGGGGCAGAGGGCAGCTGAGGGGAGAGGCGGGCAGGCCTCCTGAGGGTTTGCATCAGGAGCGCACAGCATCACCTGGGAAAACCTCTTGTCGGAGGTGTTACCCAAAGCCCGGCCCAGCAGACAGACAGATAGGCACCCTGTGAGCCCACACCCGAGAGGTCCCTGAGCCATCGGTTCACAGAGACAGAATGGTGGTCGCCAGAGGCTGGAGGGAGGAGGAGCTACCGGTATTATTTGACGGAGTTTCGATTTGGAGATGGATGATGCGGAGTTTCGGTTTGGAGATGGGTGCTGGTGATGGTTGCACAAGAATATGAATGTTGCCCTACCCGGTTTGGCCCAGTGGAATTGACCTCGGTTTGGCCCAGTGGAATTGACCTCTGCTGTGGCTTTGGAATTATCTGCACTTCCACCCGTGCCACAGACTCCGAAGCCAGTGTCTGAGTGACTAGAAGGAAAAGGAACGTGGAGGAAATATTTAAGAAGCTGAGTAGTTCACAGGGAAGCTGACTGCTGATGTCGAATGCTCTTTACATATTTTTTCTTTTAAATCCCCTGTAAGGGATGAAACGAGGGGGATTTCAAGGGACCACGGTGGGATTTGCTGCGTGACCAACGAGGTCTTTCTGTTGTGAGAGGCAGTGGTTGGGGCATTTCTAAAGATGGTTGACTACCCTTGTTTTCCTTCCTGACCATGCATTTGTCATAGCCCGGACACCTGGACTTGCCCTCTGAAGTATTAAGGTCTGGCCCAGGTTCTGGTGACGCAGACCTGTCCGATCCAGCAGGACAGCCTAGGCTCCCAGGTGCAGATACCTTGGAGGAGTCATTTCTAAACATACAAACTGGTCACTAGCCCTTCTGTGTTTTATCCTGAGGCGTCACCGCCCTCTTACTGACACTGGACGGAGATTTTAACGTACCTGAAACTTCTGAAGCAGCATGGGGGACATGTCAAGACCTCAGGCTGAGCACGCTCATGTGCATGGATGGCACCCAGCTTTACCACGTGGCAGAGAGCACACCCTATGACAAATGGTGAGCCCAGCTGGCGTGGCTCAGTGGTTGAGTGTTGACCTATGAACCAGGAGGTCACAGTTGCATTCCCGGTCAGGACACATGCCAGGGTTGTGGGCTAGATCCCCAGTGTGGGGCGTGCAGGAGGCAGCCAATGGATAATTCTCTCTCATCACTGATATTTCTATCTCGTTCTCTTTTCTCCTCCTCACTGAAATCAATAATAATAATAATAATATATATATATATATATATTTTTTAAAGACTTAGAGAATATGTAGGAGAATGTCCTTGTTCCAAGAGATGCTAAAGTACTTAAGGATGAAGGTTATGGTGCCTTTATCTTCAAAGAGTTCATGTTTAGAGGAAGTGTGTATGTGTAGATGAATGGGTAGGTGTATGTGTGTATATATGTACACACACATATGCAGATGTGCACGCACATTGTATTACACACGCACATGTATGCACACATATACACACATGTATATATGTGAGCAGTTATGCACACACATATGTGCACATGTGTATAGGTATATTAATACCCTATAGAGAGAAAGGGAGGGATAAACAAATAGGAAAGCTGCTAACAGTGCTGCAAAGAGATAGTGACTGTGACCACTCAACTGCTCCAACAACTTTCGTTTTAAAATGTTCCACAAGGAAAACATGGGGAGAAAAAGAGGAACCATTTTTATTTATTTTTTTTATTTTTATTTTTTAGTATTCCCATTCTTCCCCCCCCCCTTTTTAAAAAATTTTATTGATTATGGTATCACGTAATTGTCCTCATCCCCCCATTCCCATCCCAAACCCCTCCCCACATATGCCCCCACCTCCTGTTGTCCATGGCCACTGGCATGCACACAAGTCCTTTGGTTGATCTCTTCCCCTGACCCCCACCCTCCCCTACTTTCCCTCTGAGGTTTGACAGTCTGGTCGCTGCTTCTCTTTCTCTGGGTCTGTTTTTGTTCATCAGTCTCTGTTGTTCGTTAGAGGAACCGTTTTTAAGTGTGGACATCCTCTCTGAAGAGCGGGCTGTGTTTGGAGGAGTGCAAATGCAGACAGAGAACTGGTCTAGCGGCTCTTCGTCTGAAACGGGGGTTTTCTTATGTGGGGCCCCCAGGGCTGAGGCCTCCATGGGGCAGGCTAAGGGGCTTCCCCAGAGCGCCCGTGTCCCCAGGGACTCCCAGGGCCCTGTCCCCTTCCTGCCGACTCGGC